ATAAGGGTTTGGTATGAATTTTGGGGGGGACCCCCACTTCATTTTCCAAAAAAATTATGGCGTGGGGGGTTCCCCTCAAAATCCATATTAGACTCAAAGGGCTTGGTATGGATGTGAGGGGGGGCACTATGCCGTTTTTTTAAAACTTTTTCCCACAATTCTTTTGACATTCAGCTGTCAGCAGGGAACCCCGCTGACAGCTGAAACATGAATTAAAGTTTCACTACTAAAATACTGCATGACTTAATAATAAAACTCATGCAGTATTTTAGTAACTGAGCGGTATCTTACCGCATACTCAGATGCGGTTAAATTACCGCTCAGTAAATCATCCCTGTTCAAAGTTCACGGCTGAACTTTCAGTAGGTTCGAATGTTCAACCGCAAACCAAATGGGGGGTGTTCAGCCCATCACTACTAAAGACATTTCTGGAGTAAAAAAAAGCCCAAATGGGACCAGCAATGATATCCCCAGCAAGTGTCAGGGTCAGCAATAACCCCAGCAAGTGTTAAGGCCAGAACGGCATAATAATTAACCCCCTGCATTGAACAAAAATAAACAGCCTGGCACAATAATTAGCCCCAATCACATAACAATAATTAACCCCCAGCACGGCACAACAATTAACCTCCAACAATGCGCAATACATAATGTCTTAGCATGGCACAACAATAAATCCCAGCATGGCACAATAAAAAAAAAACAGGGTGGCACAGTAACTCCCAGCACAGCAATAAACCCCCAGGATTGTGCATTAATAACTACAGAATAATTAACCCCCAACATTAAATAATAATTAACCTCCAGGAGTATAGCAGTCAGTGTGTCCCCTTTAGTATGTATTGGGGGAGTGAATAGTATGCAGTGAGGGCAGTGAGCGGTATGTAGTTGGGGCAGTGAGCAGTATGTAGTGGAGCAGTGAGCAGTATGTAGTGGGGCAGTATATTTAAGCAGTATAAACAATATATAAACATTAACAATACTCAGGACAAGTAATCTGCTGGCTTAACGATGAAAAATACCAAGCTGTGGCAAAATGTGAGCATGATCAGGATGATAAAAGATAAGTTCTGCAGCGTGTTGTGATGATCATTATACATTGACAGATTTTAACTAAAAGTGGGAGAGGCTTAAAGGGAAATCATTAAACAGAATCTGGACCTAGTCGCTGTATAAACTGCACACATATAATGGTCCTTGTACCCACAAAATATTCCTAATTACTGTACCACAACTGCCTCACAGACACATAAAACCTCAGGACAAAGGTTCATTTTTTAAAAATTAAACATTTCCATTGCATATGCTTTCATGCACACAGAAAGGACTGACTGAATGAGCCAACCTTAAAGAAGAACTTCAATAAAACCAGCAACTGTTGGGACTATGAACATCTTAGTCTGGACTATGTAATGTACAGCATAATGTATAGAGTGCAGGGGTCAGGAATAAGTAATGTACAAAACAAAAGTTCATCAATCAGGATGAACCCTGTGTTCACATTAGAGTCCCCCAGCATTTCTCTATACATCAGGATTCCATCAGAGCCCCACCTCACATCAAAGTTCCCCTTTACATCAGAGTCCGCAGACTTCCTCCTTACACCAGAGACCCCAGAGTTACCACTTAAATCAGAGTCCACAGAGTTCCCCCTTACATCAGAGTCTACAGGATTCTCTCTTACATCAGAGTCTGGAGGATTAGCCTTTACAGTGCAAGGGGGAACTCTATAGACTCTGATGTAAAAGGGAACACTGTGGCTTCTGATGAAAAGGAGAACTCTGAGGACTCTGAAATAAGGTTGAATGCTGTGGACTCTTGCTAAAAGGAAAACTCTAATATAAGGAGATCTCTGGTCACTAGAGCCTCCTTCGCCTCCTACCCCAGAGTTCTCCTTTATATCCACAAATTTCCCCATTACATCAGAATGCACATAGTTCTTCCCATATCAGAGTCCACAGAGTTCCCTTTTACATACGAGTCTTCAAGCCCCCCTTACAGTGTAAGGGGGAATGCTACAGACTCTGGTGTAAAGGGGTACTCTGATGTAAGGTGGTCTTTGGTTATTCTGGAGTTCTGCACAGTTCCAGCTTACATCAGGGCTGAAGAAACATGGCAAATGGACTCAGCCAACCTGCCAACAAACATCAGGGAGGGTCGGTGTGATCTTGGTGCATACAGAGAGATGTACTCCCCTCTTTGGGAGAAGGATTCATCAGTACCCCCTCCCCAGACAAGGTCACCTGGGAGAAGAATTGACCAGTCAGGATTTCCCACCAAATTGTGACTCCTCGCCATTACCTAGTCACTCCAATCCCCCACTTTACTTTACCTCTCCGACACCTACACTTTTCTAGAGTTCCCATGCTCCCACCATGTGTGTACACCACTCAAGGGCTTCCTGCACCATCACCAGGCTTTGTGATGACAATGCAGTGTATACCATGACAGTAATGAGCACTGTGTAAACACTCACCCACACTCTCGCTCGCTTCTAGACTGACTCTCCCACTGCTTGAAAATCTCCCATTGGCTGTCGCAGCTTCCTTTGTATTGTAACTCTCTCGGCGTTGGACAGGCAGAGGGCAGGCCACTCAGTGATTGGGGAACAACATATGGCCTGGGAGCTGGAGGGTTACAAGAGGAGAGTAGGGCGGCATCCCAGTGCAGGGCACAACCCTGAGTCCCATGTCAGCAACCATGGGGGTGCTATGGCGGTTCTAGCAATATCTTTGGAGGTGCTTTAGCACCCCTAAGCACCCTACTGGCATCGCCCCTGAGAACAATGGTACTCTATAAAGTTTGCAAACCTACTCAATGTACTCATTTTAGATCTTAGAAGAACTACCGCCTGCCCCTAGATTTTGCTGCACATTTTTAATTATTAAGCACTTTGTAGACCATTTTCAGGTTTTATTTGGGCTTGTCATCTACAATTGCGAGAAAAAGTTTTTGTGCACTTAATTCCAGGATTTCCATATAAATGGCTCCTAAAATGTGGTCTGATGTTCATCTTATTACAATTATAGGCAAACCCAATCAGCCACCTGGCTGCTTACTTTTCATTTTATTTAAAAGTGTTCAAAAAACATGCAAGTTTGCTGTGTGGCAGCTAGAGGAACGATTAATCATACATGACTCTGCATATGCTGAAATTAACTGCTTCCTGAACGTCCACAGTACATTTACTGCAGGCAGGCGGGCGGAACAAGCAGGCTAAGCAAGTCCAATCTTTAACAAACTCGTGCAGACTCCACCTCCGCAACATCGCCAAAATACGCACGTTCCTAACCCCAGAAACCACTAAACAGCTCATCCACTCCCTCATCATATCACGACTCGACTACTGCAACTCCCTCCTCACTGTCCTGCCTCGCCGCTGGCTATCCCCGCTTCAGTCGATCCTGAATACGGCTGCCAGACTCATTCACCTTTCCAACCGCTCCATTTCCGCCACCCCCCTCTGCCAATCCCTCCACTGGCTTCCGATTGCGCAACGGATCAAATTCAAAATCCTAACACTGACGTACAAAGCCGTCCACCACACTGCCCCAAACTACATCACTGACCTAATATCAAAGTACCGCCCAGCACGCACACTCCGCTCCTCACAAGACCTCCTTCTCTCTAGTTCCCTGGTCTCCTCCTCCCATGCCCGCCTCCAGGACTTCTCCAGGGTGTCACCCATCCTCTGGAACTCCCTGCCCCAACCCATCAGATTATCACCTACTCTCCTCTCCTTTAGGCGCACCCTGAAAACCCATCTCTTCAGGGAAGCCTACCCCACCCCCTGCTAACTTGACCGACCTCCTCCACTCTTCCTACCACTCCATCCCCCACAGCTATCTCCTCCTGTGCCACCATCCCCTCCCTCCTAGATTGTAAGCTTGAAAGAGCAGGGCCCTCAATCCCCTCATGTTTTGCATTGTATTGGTATTGTTCTGTCACATGTTCTGTCCCCCTTTGTAATGTACAGCGCTGAGCGAACTATTGGCGCTTTATAAATACTGTATAATATAATAATACCTGTACATCAGCTGTCAGCTGACATCATTTTGCAAGGAACCTGATATTAATGTCGGGATCCAACAAGATGCCTGAGAGGCAACTGGCCCAACTTCTCAGCATGCTGCTGAAAGTCTGAGCCTGCCACTCCAGTCCCCTCCAAAGCCTGAGACAGCAGTGAGCGCTAGAGGGGCAGAGGAGAGAGCCAGAGACTGACAGTCACCGCTCTCTGCTCACTGAAGACTGAGGACTGAGCAGTCATTGAACAATCTGGTGTGATGAGGATCACTGTAATGTCCTCCTCAAAACTGCAGGCTAGGGGAGGAAGAACCTGGAGGAACAAAAAGGTGTTGATCAAGTTGAACTGATCTTATGAGAGCAAATTGCTCACTGCATAGAGAGGTATTTTTAACCACTTCCTGCCAGAGGTACACATATATGCAGCCTCTAGATAGGTGGGCTTTAACCACAAGCCTACACGGCACTTATACCCCCTTCCTGCCCAGGCCAATTTCCAGCTTTCAGTGCTGTTGCACTTTGAATGACAATTGTGCGGTCATACAACACTGTACCCATATGAAATTTTTATCATTTGTTTTGTGACAGATAGAGCTTTATTTTGGTGGTATTTAATCACCTATGGGCTTTTTCTTAAACAAACCAAAAACCACTGAAAATTTTGAAAAAAAAAAGTTTTTTCTTAGTTTTTGTTATAAAATTTTGTAAATAAGTGATTTTTTCTCCTTCACTGATGTGTGCTAATGAGGCTGCAGTGATGGGCACTGATAGGCTGCACTGATAGACACTGATAGGTGGCACTGATGGGCACTGATGAGGAGGCACTGGTAGGTGGCACTGATGGGCATTGACAGGCATCACTGATGGGCACTGAAAGGCAGCACTGATAGGCGGCACTGACTGGCACTGTTAGGCGGCACTGACTGGCACTGATAGGCAGCACTGACAGGCACTGATAGGCGGCACAGATAGGCGGCACTGACTGGCACTGATAGGCGGCACTGACTGGCACTGATTGGCAGCACTAATAGGTGGCACTGACTGGCACTGATGGGTGACACTGAAAGGCAGCTCAGATGGGCACTGATATGTGGCATTGATGTGCACTGGTAGGCACTGATATGTGGCACTGATGGGCACTGGCACGAGGCACTGATGAGCACTGGCACAAGGCACTGATGGACACTGACAGGTGGCACTGCTGGGGCTACACTGATCATCAGGGCACACTGATCATCAGTGCCCTGATGATCAGTGTACATGTCCCCTCTGCGGAAAGCCGATTACCGGCTCTCCTCTCCTCTCGAGGTTTCAGCGTGATAGCTCGAGAGGAGAGAAAGGCCGATAACCGGCATTTCCCTGTTTACATGTGATCAGCTGTGATTGGACACAGCTGATCACATGACCGAGCCGACATCTTCGGCTCTTTCCGGGATCGGTAATCCGCTGTGTCCGAGGGACACAGCGCACTGCCAATCCTGAGCCGCGCATGCACGGTGAGAATGGGAGGACATCATATGATGTCCTCCCAGAACGAGAGAACCGCCTTGCGTCCGTCATATTACTATAGGCTGGCGGGAGGTGGTTAATGCTGAGAGCCCACATATATGTATGTAAATACATTAGTGATCTGAGAAAGCACACCCTGTGTGTGCTCCCAACACAGTTATCTGTGGGGACCAGAAAGCTCCCGACGCACACTTGCAACCAGGAGCTTTCAGATCATGTGACCACTGTGAGAGCTAATCGCAGCAGTAACTTGACTGGAATGCATACCTCTGCCTCCTGGCATTTAGAAGTTCTTAAACAGCTGCAGGAAGGGGTTAATGTGCGTCTCTGCAACAGTGCAGAAATTTAGGTGTCCATACTAGGCAGAAATATTCATCAGCCAAAAATTATATTCAAAATTTCTGCCAATTGACCTATAAACTGTACGGAATTCTTGTTCAAAAATGTATCTAATTATACATAAGTGTTGGGCTGAACACCCCCCTGTTCGGTTCACAGTTGAACATTCGAACATAACGAAAGTTCGATTGCAAACTTCGAGCAGAGGGGACAATTCACTAAGCGATATCTTACTGTCTCTGACTATGCGGTAAGATACTGTGCAGCTCCTAAAAACATTCTTTATTGTTTCAGCTGTCAGTGGGGAATGTAAAAAGAATTGGCGGCATTGCCCAGCAATTAAAAAAAAAATTTTAATCAAATGTGTGGGGGTCCCCCCCATTCATACCAAATTCTTCGGGTCTGGTATGGATTTTGAAGGTATCCCCCCGTGCCAACATTTTTTTTTTAAATGGCGTGGCCTTCCCCAAAATCAATACCAGACCCTTATCTGAACATGCAGCTCAGCAGGTCAGGAAAGGGGGGGGGCGAGTGAGCCCCCCCTTCTGAACCATACCAGGCCACATGCCCACAATTCAACATGGGGAGGTGCTTTGTGATGGCGTGGGCTCCCCCCCAAAGCACGTTGTCCCCATGTTGATGGGGACAAGGGCCTCTTCCCCACAACTGTGGCTGGTGGTCTACAGGTGGGGGGCTTATCGGAATCTAATTTAACAAGGGGCCCCCAGATCCTAGCCCCCCTATGTGATGGAGTATGGGGTACAGGGTACCGCTACCCATTCACAAAAAAAAAGTGTAGTGAAAAATGACAGGAGACAGTCTTTGACAAATCCTTTATTAAAAACAAAAAATTTAAAAATGTCCCCTGAAGTAGATCCAACACCAGTCACGATACCTGCTGCCACCACTGTCCCAAGAAACAAAACAAAAGAAATGCTCCGCTCTCAATGCTGGCTCCGGCCATCTGACAGCTGCGCCATTTTAGCCTAAATTTATAAAGAAAAAATATCTATTTGCTAAATTTTATAACAAAATCTAAGCAAATCTAAGCATTTTTTTTTCACAATTTTCGGTACTTTTTAATTTATATGCATAATAAGAATAATTTATATGAATAATAAGAATAGTACAAATAAAAAATCCAGTGGGGATCAAATACCAGCAAAAGAAAGCTCTATCTATCTAAAAATAAGGATAAAATTTTCATATGGGTACAGTGTTGCATGACTCAAAGTGTGATAGTGCTGAAAACTGAAAATTGGCCTGGACTGGAAGGCGGTTAAAGTGTCCGGACTTGAAGTGGTTAATTTATCCATTACTGTACACTACTGTACAACAGTTTTAAACAGGTGTGAAAAAAAGATGTAATTCAGGAATGCTTTCAGAAATACAAGTGTTATGTGTCATTTAATGGGTCTCTTACATACACTATACACATACTAGGATATTTCATGGATATACTTATTGCACAGGTGGCAACTAGAGATGAGCGAATCGAACTCGGCGAAGTGGAATTCGTTTCGAATATTAGGAAAATTTGATTCGCGACGAATCCGAAAATTAGCAGACTTCGGATGCGCGAATCAAAATTTTTCCTAAAATGGCGGCGACATGTGCGGCGACGGAGCGGGGATGTCTGGGAAGGCGTGCAGACAAGGCGCGCTGACCCATAATGCATTCATTCATGACATGTGATCGCATTAGCCAATCAGCAGCCAGCCAGCCAGCACTGTGTAATGGTCGAGCTATAAATGGCGGCCATTTTAGAATTCTCCATTTGCCTCCAGTCATTCAAGAGAGGCAGACCTGGCTGTATTGAGGGAGAGAGTTAGGGACACAGAAACGTTACTTAGGGCCAGAGAAACGTTACTTAGGGCCACAGAAACGTTACTTAGGGCCACAGAAACGTTACTTAGGGCCACAGAAACGTTACTTAGGGCCACAGAATCGTTACTTAAGGCCACAGAAACGTTACTTAGGGCCACAGAAACGTTACTTAGGGCCACAGAATCGTTACTTAGGGCCACAGAATCGTTACTTAGGGCCACAGAAACGTTACTTAGGGCCACAGAATCGTTACTTAGGGCCACAGAAACGTTACTTAGGGCCACAGAAACGTTACTTAGGGCCACAGAATCGTTACTTAGGGACACAGAAACGTTACTTAGGGCCACAGAAACGTTACTTAGGGCCACAGAATCGTTACTTAGGGACACAGAACCGTTACTTAGGGCCACAGAAACGTTACTTAAGGACACAGAATTGTTACTCAGGGACAGACACAGAATTGTTACTGAGGGACACAGAATTGTTACTGAGGGACACAGAATTGTTACTGAGGGACAGACACAGAATTGTTACTCAGGGACAGACACAGAATTGTTACTCAGGGACAGACACAGAATTGTTACTGAGGGACACAGAATTGTTACTGAGGGACACAGAATTGTTACTGAGGGACACAGAATTGTTACTCAGGGACAGACACAGAATTGTTACTCAGGGACAGACACAGAATTGTTACTCAGGGACAGACACAGAATTGTTACTCAGGGACAGACACAGAATTGTTACTGAGGGACACAGAATTGTTACTGAGGGACACAGAATTGTTACTCAGGGACAGACACAGAATTGTTACTCAGCGACAGACACAGAATTGTTACTCAGGGACAGACACAGAATTGTTACTCAGGGACAGACACAGAATTGTTACTGAGGGACACAGAATTGTTACTGAGGGACACAGAATTGTTACTCAGGGACAGACACAGAATTGTTACTGAGGGACACAGAATTGTTACTGAGGGACACAGAATTGTTACTCAGGGACAGACACAAAATTGTTACTCAGGGACAGACACAGAATTGTTACTCAGGGACACAGAATTGTTACTGAGGGACACAGAATTGTTACTGAGGGACACAGAATTGTTACTCAGGGACAGACACAGAATTGTTACTCAGGGACAGACACAGAATTGTTACTCAGGGACAGACACAGAATTGTTACTGAGGGACACAGAATTGTTACTGAGGGACACAGAATTGTTACTCAGGGACAGACACAGAATTGTTACTCAGGGACAGACACAGAATTGTTACTCAGGGACAGACACAGAATTGTTACTGAGGGACACAGAATTGTTACTGAGGGACACAGAATTGTTACTGAGGGACACAGAATTGTTACTCAGGGGACACAGAATTGTTACTGAGGGACACAGAATTGTTACTGAGGGACAGACACAGAATTGTTACTCAGGGACAGACACAGAATTGTTACTCAGGGACACAGAATTGTTACTCAGGGACAGACACAGAATTGTTACTCAGGGACAGACACAGAATTGTTACTCAGGGGACACAGAATTGTTACTGAGGGACACAGAATTGTTACTGAGGGACACAGAATTGTTACTCAGGGACAGACACAGAATTGTTACTCAGGGACAGACACAGAATTGTTACTGAGGGACACAGAATTGTTACTGAGGGACACAGAATTGTTACTGAGGGGACACAGAATTGTTACTCAGGGACAGACACAGAATTGTTACTCAGGGACACACAGAATTGTTACTCAGGGACACACAGAATTGTTACTGAGGGACACAGAATTGTTACTGAGGGACACAGAATTGTTACTCAGGGACAGACACAGAATTGTTACTCAGGGAGGGACACAGAATTGTTACTGAGGGACACAGAATTGTTACTGAGGGACACAGAATTGTTACTCAGGGACACAGAATTGTTACTGAGGGACAGACAGAATTGTTACTGAGGGACACAGAATTGTTACTCAGGGACACAGAATTGTTACTCAGGGACACAGAATTGTTACTCAGGGACAGACACAGAATTGTTACTGAGGGACACAGAATTGTTACTCAGGGACACAGAATTATTACTGAGGGACACAGAATTGTTACTCAGGGACAGACACAGAATTGTTACTCAGGGACACAGAATTGTTACTCAGGGACACAGAATCGTTGAATTAAAGAGTATGTCAGACAACATGCAGAGGAGTGGCAGAGGAGGCAATGTTTTAGGAGCGAGCAGACGTGGCAGCAGAGTAAGGGGTCGAGGCAGCACTAGTCGCAGCCAGAGGCCAGTGCTCCCGGTGTCATCCAGCGGTCGTGTCTCCACCGACAACCCTGCCGTCATCGATTGGTTGGCTCGGTCGTCTTCCTCTTCCCAGGTCACCTCTGACACCTACAGCCAACGGTCGGTGGGTACGTCAGACACAACCGTTAGTTGGCATGGCCCGGGAGCAAGCCCACTGAAATCACGTGTCCTCTACCTGCCCCTGTCCTTTGGTGTTCCCTCACCAAGCGAAGTATCGCATGCTGTGGGCTCAGCCCCACTGTACAGTGAGGAAGAGCTAACAGAGGGCGGTCAGGAACGGGGGGAGACATCCGCCTCTTCAGCAGCCAGGCGAAGAAGTACTGGCGAGGAGAGTGGCTCGGTAGCCGGTCTAGAGACAGGTCTGTCTCCTGACCCACACGCAGCCGAGAGGGCTAGTAGTGAGGCGGAGACCCTAATTGATGATGATGAGGCTGATCGCACTTGGCAGGCCTCGTCGTCATCAGGCTATTGCTTCCGCAT